AGGGCACCTGCACACAGACCAGAGGCAGCACTGCCCCGGCTCCCGGCGGGAGCATCCCCGGGACCTGCAGAGCGGGTCCCCAACGCTGCCCACGGCTGCAGCGCCGGGGCCAAAAGCCCCGGGGACCCCCTGGCAGCGCCCGCTCCCCGGGGGGATGTGCACAGCCTGGCCCGCTGCGCCGGCGTCCCTGGAAACCCTCCCTTAGGCTGTCTGCAACTTTGAGGGTTGATTTATTCCGGCGATGCTCAGGAGCCCGAGACACAGGCACCCAGTGGCAAACGTCTGCGTTGCCCCATATTCTTTACCCTCAGATTGCAGGTAAGAAAAGGAATTGGCCAGAAAATGAGGTAAAGCAGGGTTTTACAAGGGCTCAGCCCTGGCTGCGCCCGGGAAGGCCCAACACCCTCTTACCTGTGGCAGAGGAGTAGAGCAAACCGCGCGAGTCGAAATGGCTGGGCAAAACCACGGCACCCCCCGCCACACCAGCACTGCGAGCGCCGGCTCCGCTGGCCTGACCAGGGGATCAAAGTGGGGATTCAAGGGGTCCCCCCTGGGGCTGGAGGCGTTTGAAAGCTCCTCTCTTGCTGAGTGCAGATATAGCTGTGTTGGGGGAGTTTGAGCAGGATGCAGAGGGAAAAAGGAAAGTGAAGTGGGGGAAACCGAGTAAATTAAACAGAAAAATAGCAAAAGCAACAGAAAGCAAAGCGAATTCTGCAACAGACCTGATGGGGGATGAGTCGCTGGACGTAGAGGAGGTGGGCATAGGACTTGATGGCGCGGAGAACATGGGCCAGGACGGTGAGAGGGGTGACGTTGGGCTTGGATTCTGAGGGCTGCAAGACATAACCAGATACCTTATCAACATGCAACCACAGAAACAAACAGCAACTGAGAGACAGTCAGACGACATCCGACGATAGCGAGTGCCTTGGGAATAGTCAGAGCATGAGACACAGCTACGAAATGAAGTGCCAGGACCTTGGGAAATGTTTCAAGGCCAGATCTGCATTTCTCTAGACAACAAGAGCTGGATCTTCCAATTAACCCCTGCTCCATCATCCCGCCCGGCGAGCCCGGCACCGGGCGGAGGGCTGTCTCGCTCTGCCAGCCCAGCCACTTACCTGCCTTGTTTTATTTCCCCCACTGCTGCCTGGCATAGTCGATGGCATTTCTGGATGTTAACGATGCCCGCGAGTGGCCTCCATCCCCTTTTGGAGGTCGGTTGTTGCGGTGTCAGAGTCTGGGCCCCGATCCCCATCCTCCGCCGCCCGCTTACATTTCTAACCAACGGGGTCTGGGAGGCTGGGAGCCCTGAGGAGTTCGTTACCTGCAGGACGGGGCTGTCATTTCCACGCTCTCATCTGTCTGAGAACAACGAGCAGGAGAAAATCTCCAGCCCAGCCCACCCTGCAGGCGCCAGCAGCACCGCAGGGACCCCGCAGCGCTCACCGTGAGGTAACCGGTGCTCCGGGCTCCTGCCGGGCGCAGGCATTCAGCACCACAAACTTGTCATTGATTTGTTTTCCGCTCAACAACTCTTTTTCTCTCCTGTGCAGACTGCTCTCGATTCCTTGCTTTCAAGCTATCGCTGCCAACTGAAGTTGAATCAAGTTGCTGAACTAGTAAATACATGCAGAAGTCGGGCGAGAAGCGTTTGGTCCCTTCAAAACTGTTTGATTTAGGCCATTCTCGGGTTCACCAAAAAGCAATTACTGAACTAAAATAACAACTTGAGCCTGATTCATCTGCCGCTGCTTCTGTGCTTATCAACTCATCTGTATTCTCTAATTCAGACTGTAAACTCCATCCCTGATAAAACACCAGAAAAACCTCTCCACACGGAAAATGCCTCTGTAAAAACAAGAAGTTTTGTAAAAGCAACAGGATTTCTGTTATTTTCTTTTTCTCCTGAGAGGTGGGGATATGGTCCAACCACACAGGGACCCCCAGGCTGTCCCTGTCCCGAGCTGGGGGGCCCTGAGGAAGAGGGAAGGGATATGGGGGGGTGCCAGGGCACACGGGAAAATGTGGCCCACGTGCAGAGAGGGGCACAGACCTCCCTCTCAGCTCCGGGCTGTAAGTATCATTTGTTCCAAATACCTGTCTGGGATTATAAAAACATCTTCTAGTTATGCTTAACTCAGACTTCCTCCGGTCACCGCACGGCGTGCAGTGATGTGGCTCCTTCACGCTCGAGGAGAGGCCTCCTGAGGGGCATGGCTTGGACCAGAAGCCAACTTGGAAAAAAAAAAAACAACTCCAGAAAGGACAAAAGATCCCCCTCCCCTCCAGAACAAACACGATGGGCAGCACCAGCGCACACGCGGCGGGACGCAGCGCCGGCAGCGGCCAGGAGAGCCAACGCCGCCTCTTAAACCTTCAACAGAAGGAGGAATTCTCTGTAAAAGATGTAACGGGTTAAGACATGATCATTCAGTGGTCACAACAGAAGTTCATTGTTTCAGGCCCTGCCTTCTGCTCTTTAAGCCCAGAATGAAATGTTTCATATATTAAGAGAGAATATGACAAACATTCTTTCATTTCAAGCTGAGTATAAAACCTCAATCTCTATCATTGAAAAGAACCAACCTCCTCCAACATCCAAAGAGCGTCTCCAGGAAATATTTACGATTAATCTTGACTTTGGTGTTTTCTTGTCATTTTCTTCAGTTCGAGTTACAATTTAGCACCTTAAAACTAAAATGTCACTCTTGGCACACCAGCTTCTCCCCAGCTCATGCACCTGCACAACCGACACCCCGACGCCTCCCTCGCCTGCGCCAGGTTCACCGCGGGGTACCCGGCTCCTCCTCCCGCCCCGGCACTTGCCGAGAGGCCGGTGACTCCCGCCGGTGGTCCCTACGTGCCCTCCCGCGCGCCCGCAAGCGGCGCTGCCAGCCGGTGCTCTCCGGCAGTCTCTGGTGGTCACAACTCCAACGGGGAAGGAGGGACCTGTGGCTTGGGTCCAGCGTCCAGGGGGAAAGTGCCCATGTCATAAATATCACCACCGCAGGGGCACCTAGGGGACACTAAAGAAGGTTAAATTGTTGGCCTGAGCTGCTCTGAGGGCCGTATCTGATTAAGGCCAAGCTCTTGGCTTTACCCCTCGCAGAAGCTGGATTCGACAGAAACTAAGGATTTCCCGTTGTAATTATGGGCAACACCTTTATTACGTCAGAGGATTACATGCATACAGAAACGAGATACAGCAGTGCGTCACAGGAGGGCTGTAAAACAGGGAAACTATTAACAGAAATCCTCAAAATGTTCTTCCTATCAATTGTCACCATTTAAAAGCAATCTGCTTGCATTTCTCTGTCATCAAAATTGTCAGTCTTGCCAAAAATGAGCGATTACCTGTATTACTCTAACAAATCTGTTAAGACGTTGGTACTTACCATGTATTAAATCTATTTCCAACTTTAAACAGAAGGAGGTGCTACAAAGACCACCAAGTGAGCCCAAAACACAGAAATTAACCCTTGAAGCACCAGTTCTTGCTGCTTCTTTTCCTTTCTTGCAGGTGCGGTTGTCTGGTCATTTGTGATGGTGCCCTACCTCCCCTCCACACAGCTCACCAGCACACAGGGCAGGTCATTTTGCTTTATTTTAGCTGTGGACAAGCCAAGCCTGCTTCTGCCCTCTAATGGAGAGCACATGTCAGATGCATCCGAAGGCGTGGAGGGTGCTCTGCTCTGGGCAGCGGGAATTAGAACATCCCCTTCACTGTTAGTGGCGCAGTTTTGGAAGCCAGAGCCCACTGGTTGTAATACCTGTACACAACAGTCTCTGGCTCTGCCCAGCAAAGCTACTACAGCGAGCCTCCGAGCTGGGACGTGCCTGCACGGCAAACGGATGCGTGGGTTTGTCCCCCGGGAGGCAGAGGAGCTGCTAGGTGTGCCTCTTGCCTTACCACGGCCTCTCGCAGACTCCTCCTCATCTCAAAAAGCTCTTCACCAAATACACATCACCTGCTCCGCCCGTGGATTCTCTGTAGGTGAGGAGCGTTGCCTTGGTAAGCGAATCTCCCGGCCTCCAGGCCCTGGCTCCAGCGAGGCTCCTGTCCACTGAACCGTCTGCAGGGCAGGATGAGTCCTGAGGCAGCTTAGGCTCCTCCAGCCACCAGCCCGTCTTCTCCGTGGTTACACCCCTGCGGGCAGCAGCCTCCTACCGCCGCAAAGGCCCCACGCCGGGGTAGGAGAGCGCAAAGGAATGGCACGGCAACTCCCTCCTCGCAGAGGAACTCGGAAAAGGTGGGACTTGGAGGGGGCGAGGAGCTGGTGACTGAAACGTGGCTGGGCTTGTCCTCCTGAGAGTGGCCACCGACACCCAGCGGCCCTCCCGCCGCGGCTCCCACCGCCTCTGCGGGCAGCAGGTGTTGGGTGCAAGAGGGCAGTGGGCTCGGGGTGCAAGAGCACGGCTCCTGCTTCCGCTACCGGCCCCGGTCCTCCTCACTGCAGGATGGGAGGAATATCTGACTGCACAGGGCTGCGGGACTAGAAATTCCCAATGTGCCTTTTGAGATGAAATCATTTTAAAAGAATGCAGCTCTCACTACGCGCAAAGTCGGCTCTGTCATCGCTTCCCCAACTGCGCGGCCTGCTACACTAATTACGGTGCGTAATGCAATCAATATGATTCTCAGAGAAAAGGGTGATTTCTGTGATGTTGCCATAAAAAAGCCTCACAGCAAGAGCCAGCACTCAGGCCAGCCTCTATCTAAGAAGCGATTAATAATTTGGGGCAAGATTTTGGTGTCTTTGGATCCTTGGTGGCAAAGAAAATGCTCTCCACGCCCACCAAAACAACGGAGAGAACTAATGACAGCACGGGGGTTCCTAAGTATGAAGACCATCCTGTTTCAATCAGGTTGCTCACAGAAGAGAGAACGTGGGCTTACGGCGGCCGAGCCGCCCCCGCGCAGCCTTGCGGTCCCGCTCTGTCTTTCCTGTGATTTCCTCAAGAAGAACAAACGGACATGTCAGGACCCGGCACCTACAGACCGCGGGGCTATGATGTGCACGGAGGGTTCCTCTCCCTTCCGTAAAATACAGGTATTTATTTCCAAGATACCGCTTGAGTTGTCACCTTTCTGAGCTTATGTGACCGCAAGACCCGAGTCCTTCTCGCTGGAGAAGTCATTGCACGCGAGCGAACAGACTATTCTGAGGTCTCTGGCATTCTGGAAACTGGTTTTCTTGTAGGATCCAATTTCCTTTCTGTTTCTGATGGAAAGAGCAGAGGTGGTGAGAGGCTTTGGGGAAATGTTGGCTGCTGCCTGCTTTCAGTTCTGCCTGCAGAAAGCAAATGACATCTGGACTTTTTTTTTTTTTCCTTCTTCTTACTCTGGAGGACTTTGCGAGGGGCCTTTCCTGTTGGGTGCATAGTGGGAAACAAAACAGAGAGAAAAATGCTAAGAACCAAAGATACCAAAACCAGGAAAGAAAGAAGCGGCTAAAATGAGAGTCTTCCGAGGCGGGTGTGGATTTTCCCCCACAGAAGCAGCAGAGGGAACTCCCCGGGTCCATAGCCCCACACGTCCCAGGCTCTCGCCTTTCCCGCCGCTCCGTCTGTGCCCTCGAACGTGGCGGCCGTGAGATGCAACCCCGCGGGTTGGTGAAACTGCCCTGGAACGGGCAGGGAGCAGGAGGACGTCGTGTCACAGCCGGCAGCTCCCGCCTGCGGGGGCACCTGAGCCTTCAGCTTTGGCAGCCCCACTCTCCCAGCCAACAAGTGCACTTAGAAATAAATTTAGAAGCTAAATCCTCCTCCCTGCTCCCCCTGCCTGCTGCACACACTGCTTTTCCCATTCTGATGTTTAGTTTGCTGCCTG